GTTGATGCCAGGGGCTTAGGTATAGAGCATATGTTTTGAGAATGATGAGGGCAATGAATGTACAAATGTGCTTTACACAATTGATGTATGTGTATGGATTGTGATAAGAGTTGTATGAGCCCCTAATAAAACGATTTAAAAATTTTTAATTTCTCCAAATAGACTACTGTAGTAGCTTAGTGTTTCACACAAAAATGTTCATAAATAGAGGGTCAACTACATTAACATTATCTATTTTTATAAGGCAGCAATCTCAATGAGAAGTTCTTAGCCAGATGAATCTCTAGCCTACAACCATAAGTGTGGTTATAGACCAATTTCTGACTCCATACCACTACCATTGAATTGATTCCAACTAAAATCACCTTTTAGGGCCAAGTAGAACAGCACTTAGTTTCCTAGGCTCAATATTTATGGGAACAGACAGCCTTGAAGTCATATCATGAGGACAGATAACGTAACCTCTGCTTCAGATATAAAAGTAGAAGATGATAAAAATTCATTACTTTGCTAAGATCATGCTTGCCTGACACTTTAATAGCAGAATAGCAAGTGGGCAGAAAATGTTTACTGTTAGTCATATAAAATAAAAGCATATTAGAAATATTTCAAAATATAAAAAGGTATCCAGCAACTAAGTAGACATACCTACGAGTTTTTATAAAGCACTTTAGAGTTTAAGTGCACTCCCTGGTGGTGCAACCAGTAAGCACTGGGATGTAGTTCAAACTCACCCAGCTAGCAGCTCAGAGGAAGAAGGATCTGGAGATCTGCTTCTGTGAAAACCAATATTCTAGCAGACCATGTTCTACTGTGTCAAATGGGATTGAAATTAGTCGAATATTGACTCAGTAGCACCTAACAATGACAGGCACTTATTCGAAGGCTCAAAGACATGGAGAACTTACCCAAGTATGTCCCTGAGTGCCGGTTTGAACTAAACAAGTGTTATTATTTATGAATTTCAATCAGCGCTAGAAAACTCATTTAAAGTTTTCAAAGCTTAGAAACTAATTTTTTAAGGACATATAGAGGAGATTATAATCATGAAGAAAAATTAGAAAGAAATTACAATCTGTCACTGGGGTTATTAAAGCCTTGGGGACTGACTTTAAACTCTTTATGTTTTATAAGGGTTAAAAGTCACAGGCTTCAATTCACATTCAACTTTAAGTAGATTCTTTCAAATGAAAAACATTTATCAATTAGCTTCACTGAATTTGTCTAAATACTTTAAAATTTAAAATGTATCCCAATGAATAGGCTGCACTTTATATTTTAACAAGAACGTTTATAAATATAAATCACAACAGAAAATACAATTAGAACATCGCCCCCAAATAGTACATACAAAATGTTTTTTAATGCTAAAAACTGTATCAGATGTAATATTTTACAAATTACAAATAATTAAATGAAAATAACGTTAATACATTCACATACCTGGTATTTAGATGAGGTTCCAGTATTTCCCGAACATGTTCAGGAAACCGTCTCCATAATTGGTGCCCAGGGCCATTATTCTGCATTTCTCTGCACTCATAAATAGAAAGTAACTCCTAAAAATATACATTTTACATTTGTAAGTCAATCATGTAGTAGATAAGCCTACATGTTCATCTATGTTCTATATACAAGAGTCATAAAAATATAGAGAATTATCAAATTTCAAAGTAGGAAAAGCACAGGACATTTATTTCAATACCAAGAATCATTCATAAAAGCTTGGCAGTGGTTTCAGTTCAAAATGGACTGAAGAACAAGACTGAAGGATAAGACTGAAAAGCATTTGGAGGAGCAACTGGAATTGGGTTCTATTTACAAAATGGACTGAAGTATAAGACTGAGAAGCGATCCGTTCGACACATCGTGATCACACAGGCTGATATGTTGTTCCATGTGGGCTTTGTTGCTTCTGAGCTAGATGGCCGCTTGTTTACCTTCAA